ACGGCTCTTTCTTTTTTTATTGTTGTTGTTGTTGTTGTTGTTCGTTAAATCCCGGTCAGTCTCTTTTGTGGAAAACCTTGTTGGTAAGTAAATTTCTTCTCTCTTTCTTTTCTTCCCACCCTCTCGGGATAACAAACGAACATTGTCGTCGTTCCAAATTAGATATCACCGAGTTGATCATAGATTCCATATGGAAAAATTTTCCGGTACAATTTAGTGCACAGGTTATCCCCCTCCGAGTATTCATCCAGGAGATCTTACGTAGGTCACGAACTTCATGGTCGACCCTTCAAACCACCTTATTCTATCTCATGAGGATCAAGCCGGAAATCACTTCGCTCGCATTGAATTATGGAAATGATAGAAATGGAAAAGCTTGTGATCCGGCTACTTGCGGTCGTCGAATGTTCCTCGCGTCACTTATGGTGGCGTCCAAATATCTTCAGGATCGCAATTACGCCAACAATGCCTGGTCGAAAATTTCCGGTCTGCCCGTGCAAGAAATTAATGCCATCGAGAGAAGATTCCTAAAGTTAATTGATTATAATCTGTACATAGGTGAAAGTATTTTCAAGCATTGGGTCAATCTACTGTTGTCGCATATAATTCAGATCACATCGGGATCAGTTCCGTCGGATGCACACCGAACTGAAGTGGATCAAAAGACAGCAGCACAATTCAAACAAACTTTATGGATGACACGTTCTCAATCTTCCGAATGTTCAGTTCGGGGATAAAAATATTTGTTATAGTAACATCTAGGTCCACTGCTACTCCGAGAATGTCTTTTAAAAAAAAGTAAAGAAAAAAAAATATATATATGCAATAGACGATTTATTATGATATTTAAGAATTAGCTAGTCTATAAAATTTTCATATCATTTGTTTTGTTTTGTTTTATTTTACAACTTCACGCAAGTTGAGTAAGGTTCATTTGAATAAACATCACATACCTTGTGACTTTAAACTCGATAAACGATGAATGTATGTACAATGCCCACGGAAAACATTACATAAAAACGAATGATCGTCGCGAAAAAATTCTGACATAAGCATGTGCACCATTAAATGCGACACAATAAAATGAATTCAAATTACGACGCGAATCATCAAATAATAAGTTTGGATCATACGATTATTGTATATTTTATTGTCATTCGCCATGTTTTTTCTTTCATTAATGACCGAGGTCATTTTGTAGATAAAAACTCTTATTAAAATTGCCATCGTCGCAGTGGAGCTGCCTTGTACATAATTATTCAAATTAAAAAAATTTCTCAATGATAGCAGAAATGTGAAATGCAAACGAGGATCTATCCGGAAATACATAACAGTAAAAAAAAAAAAAAAAAAAAGCCAAGATTTTTCGTTGCGTTACCAGAGCGAGAACGTCGGTGGCGTGATGCGTCTCGCGAGAAAACTTTTTTGTTGTGTTATAGGTATGGGACGGTACTATTGCGTGATCGAAATGATAAATTAAATGGCTATTATGCATGATGATAATAGACGGTGTGCGTCTTCCTCAAAACAGTTCTCTCCCCTAACCACATAACTCCGGTATGCAGGGAAACCGTTCCCAATTGAGGAAACATTTTTGCGTGAAAAAAATTTTGATTTCAAGATATAGCCGGTATGGTTGTGAGCCCGTAGGTTTATCTTTCCATCATGTTGATTGAGTAATGAGCAATCTTGATTTCATTGATGCTTAGTCGTTTCACGGTGATTGATAGCTTACTAAAATAGAAGAATCACACCTTTTAGAAAGCAAGGCCGTTTTTATTGGGATCATTTTATTTATTTATTCCCACTGATATCTTGATTCGTCGAAACGAGTGGCATGATTATCGAAAGTCGCATGATTGTTTAACTTTGTTCGCTCTTGCAGTGTGTGCTATAGGTAAAATGCATTTTGGTTTCATAATGGTTGACTTTAACAACAGTAAATGACATTGTATCTATGGAAATATAATCGTCCGCACCAATCAAACTTCGTGCGCACGATTATTCACGAAAATTGGAAAAGATTTTTTCTTAATTTATTATGCATATAATAAACCTTTTTATTTCTAAAAACCCCTCACAAATATATTTATTACAATAAATAAATAAATATATATATATGTGACTACATAGGTTTATCATCTAATTTTTTGATATAAAGAGTTGGTGCACCGCGCTTTACGGCGCAAAAAATATTTATAATCACGTGATCTTGGTATATGCACATTTTTATCAATGGGCATACGAACTTGAGCATCGTTTCGTTCAATCACTTTCTCGATAAAAATTTTTGCTTTGTTTTCATACGGTCCCCTCGCAATAAAAGAGACTGACCGGGATTTAACGAACAACAACAACAACAACAACAATAAAAAAAGAAAGAGCCGTAAAAACATATCGAATATCATCTCATGTAACAGGTTTTTTCTTTGCAAAAAAACTCACTCGGTTGGATTTTTATAACTGCATAACAGCGCTTTTGTTTGCTTAATCCAATGCGTTGTATACCATCGATTAAGTCAAAATGATTGGGCTGGACCTTTAACTTCCCTGTTGTTAATTATGGAAACAATGGTATGGTGTCAGGCAACAAGTTGACTCGCGATTATTTGATAAAACTCTTGGCATAGGTGAATTTTTCGTTTTGTTTAATTAATGCGCACATGGCACAAACGATTTCTTCAAAAATTTTAATAATTGACTCCCGCGATTAAACGAAATCACGCTTTTTATTAAGCGATTTATTAAGCAAAATCTTGGACACGATGAATAAAAATCTAACATCCAAAGTGAAAAAGACAATTTGTTCGACAATCCCTCGGACACTCATCTCTGTACGATTAAAATTGACATCATTAAATGTACTCTAAGGTAACTATAATTATGGATTAAGAATAAGGAAAAAAATTTTTAATCTATAAATAAAAATGTAATTTTCTTTTCCATTGAGAAAAAGAATTGTTCAAGCGAAGATCCAAATTAGAACAACAACATTCCAGCAATCAATGTGATTCCAAGGGCGAAAATACTTGAGCGAAGGTTTCTAGCATCGGAAGTGGGGGCGTTGCTGCCAGAGGGGTGAGCCCCGGAGGAAGTGGCTGAAGATGACGAATGTGAGGCAGCGGAGGGGGTCGAACCTGATGCAGTTGGTACAGCTGTATCGGTGGGGGCTACGGTGGGAATAGTGATGTCGGTGGAAGTAGTGTCAGTGGGAACAGTGCTGCCGGAAGGGACAGTGCTGCCGGAAGGAACAATGCTGCCGGAGGGAACATCGCTGCTAGTGGGAACAGTGGAATCAGTGGGGCCAGAGGAACTAGCAACAGTACCACTAGAAATCAAAGAGCTAACGTCCTGGGCTTTAGCCAATGTGATTAAAGCTAACAAACAGAAAACTGCAATTAAATCGAATTTCATGTTTTTTGATATAAGATCTGGAGGATTAGTGTTTGAGTTTTATTATTAATATTAATATTTTTTTTTTTTTTACTAATAAATGAGAAAAATGTAATTTTTTTGAGGTGATGAAAATTCCCCACTTTTCATGCCGTACTTATACAAAAATTTTCTACTGACTCGTAACATAACGCCTCTCGTAATTATGACAGAAAAGGACAAACAAAAGAAAAGGTTGCCATGAAATCTATGCTCTAAACTTTCTAAAATATAATTTTGTAAAAAGGATCCTTGATTGGCAATTAATTATTATGACCGATCACCGGCAAACTTAAAAATTTATTCTTAGAAAACAAAAATATAAGCGAATTCCACATTTATCCATACAATTTATGAATATAAAATGAATTAAAAAAAGGCAACCTCCTTTTCAAATTATATATGGATAGCGCGCAAATTAATTTATCTGATTCGGGCTCTGGCACCGGCCGTTGGAACTCCCATTTAAATGATCGAATAATAAGGCAAATATCTGATGTTGCTATTTATTTTTGAAGTTACGAACTCTACCCTGCTCATAAACAATACGTAAATCATTTATTGTTATTTGGGTGCATGCACTTTTGAGGTTAGTGGTTTAAGGAGGGATTATCGATCAATCCAGACTATTGCAAATTGCATTTTACTGTATGTTTTCCTGAACGAACCATACACGGTCGTAATATTTACCATAAGGAGATTAATAATAGGCGCAAATCAATTGTTTAGTATAATACGGTTTTATTTTTAGATAAAAATTTTATCATAACGAAATTGGGTGCATAAACACTATAGAAATTTTGATTAATATTTACCTTGTCATAATATTTTTGTTTATAATCGTAAAGACGCTTATGCACCATTGGTTATTTTTATTTATGGAAAAACAACTTTTTCCCTAAAGATGTTTTTGCGGTCATCTCGTCGGAATATAATAATTTTTTTAAAAAAAATACGGCAAACATTTATAGCTTCGTGTAGATTTAAATTATTTTTTTTTGAAAATTTGAAAATAATCATATTAATGAGAATAAAAATTATTTTTATTTTTATCATATTTTATAATTTTGGTTTTTTGATTTTACTTGTTTTTCATTTTTTTTTTTTTTTCATTTTTTAATAACAAATAATGATCAATATCTTTAAACTTTCAAGAAATTATCTTTTTTTTTCTATAGTTACTTAATATCTAATTTGATTATTTAAACTATAAAATATTAAAAATATATATAGTTAAAGTCAGTTGAATATGTCTTTTCTTTACAAGATCTAACATTCTTGTTCATAATAATCAGTTCTTTTATTTTAGTCATCTTTTGTGTGTTATCTTGGGATCTTCTTTTTCGAGTTTTTTCTATTTGAAAATGTAAACTTGATTATCAGTAAAGATTTCTATTATACTATCTATTGGAACTACTAAAACTATTGTAACTAGTGCCACCAATTCTGCTTTTATAGATGAGGATCAATTTTTAACTTTTGTTTGAAATTTACTTTCTTTTCCAACTTCTTCAGTTTACATCCATACTACTCACATTCTTACATTTTCATTTTCATGTTCAATCAAAAATTCATCTAGGTAAAAGGTCAGCTTCTCCTGGGATCCTTGATTATACTGAAGAATTTCAAATAGATAATCTTGATATACTATTTACTTAACATTGTCTCTAATTATTTCTTGTTTCTAATTTCCTATTAGTACATGTTCCATTCTTTTAATTTAATTATTTTTTTGTTCTTAGGTTTTTGGAACTATACTTGTTGTTGTTATCTTATCAAGCTCAAGTAGGGAACAGGGAATCTTTAGTAATTGTGCTCTTTTAATATTTTTTTAATAGTTTAGAAATAGTATAGTATAAATTATATCTGTTTTTACTTTTATATTGCATTTATTTTCCTTTCTATTATTCAAAAGGTATCCTGAACATTTGGTGAGAACTGTTTTAAACACATCTTCTATTTTTTATTGCTTGAAATGACAAATTGTGACTATATCTTGGCTATTTTCTCAAATTAATTTTCTTAACACTAGTTGCTGATTTTCTTTCTGAGTAACTACTCAAGTTTTTTTCCTTTTGTCTCTATCAGATTTAGGCTTAATATATTTTGATATTCATTTTTCTTCCTATCTCTTTTTCTAAAGTTTTGTAAGGTCTTCTATACTTTCTTTGGTTATAGTTCTTTGCAGGATATTATATTATTTTGGAATTGAACCTTTGCTTGTGTTTTGTATAAGATGAACTATTCTCCACTTTCTAAACTCTATAAAGTTTTGACTTATTCGCTAATCTATATATATTAACCTATTGTTTCATAAAGATAATATTGCCTTTCTATATTCTTAGGTATTAAATATTTCTAAATTGAACTGTTGCCTTTAATCTATTTGAAAATATCATTTTATTTTCAATTTTAAAAAATTATTTCCAAGTTCTTAATTAGTATTATGATATATAATGTAAAATTTCATTTACTATCAAAATGATACAAAGATTTACATGAAAAAAATTGTGAATTTTCAATGTTTAATTTGTATTTGTTTCAATCAAATAATTGTAGTGAGACCTGCTATATCTTGATTATTTACTCTATTACAAGTCCTGTAATTTGACTTTCTTTTTAAAGTATCCATATATTTTTGAGATTATGTATCTTCAGATAATAGATTATACTATTAGGGATAAATCTACATGAAGCTATTTTGTTTTTAAAGAGTTTATGATATGCTGCTATTAAGTTATTACATATTCTTTAGGACAATATGCTATACTGCATTCTAAATTTTATTCTTGGGATAAATAATATATTTAGTATATAAAGGACTTATTTATTTATTATTTTCTTGTTTTTAAGAACTCTAATAATAATATTGATTTCTTTTAATACTCTTCCTTTAAATTCTATTACAGTTTTCTGATTGACTATTCAAATCTCTAGAAATTTTGCTTGCTCTTCCTTTCTAGTTCTCAAATTACTTCTTTATTGATTTCAGTATATACCTTTTCTAGATAGAAATTAGGGTTATTGAAAGTTATTAATACTAATTTACTACTATTAATTTGAGAGTCATTTGCTTTGTAAAAAATTCTTGCTATCTCTAGAATCTTTTTTATGTCTTCTTTGGATCTTGCTATCCAAGTAGTATCATCCATAAAGGCTATAGCTATATATCTTAATTCTAGTCTCTTAATAATATTACTATTTAGTTCAAGATTCTATAAGACTACTATTTTGTATTCATATTTTTTATTTTCTTGAATTCTATATAGAAAAGATTATAGAAGATTTTCCATATAGGTAATGAGATAGTTTTTTCTTGGTCAATTCTATTTTCTACCCTTATTATTCTATAAGATTATCCTTAAATATTACTTTAAACTCTTTATTTTGAAACAGGCTTATTAGGATTTTGATGAATCCTTTAAGTACTTTTATTCTTTTCATTGCTTTTGTTAATATTTCTAAATTGATAGTATCATATATCTTGGCTATGTCTTGGAAAAGTATTCACAGCTTTTTTTTTTATTTTCTCTTATATCTTTACAGATGTTATTAAGAATTTGAATGGATTCTACTATACTTTCTTTCAATAATTCTACATAATTGAAATCTCTAAGGATATTGTTGATCTTGTAGATATTTCCCATTCTAGAGATTAGAATTTTGATAAATACTTTCTGATAACTTCCAATAATATGATTGATCTTATGTTTACTAATTTATATCTCCATGGTTTTGGTTTAGCTATTGAGTATATATGATTTTGTTTCCAAATATAGGCATAACTTTCTATCTTAAGAAGATATTTAATATTTTTCATAGGTATTTTTTTTCTTCTTATCCTAACTTCTTTAGTATTTTCATTGATAATTTGAGATTTTTCTAGAGATTTGTTATTTGAAAGTATATAAAGTATTTCTTCTAATTTCTCATATGTAATTGATTCTAGAAGAATGTTATATTATATAGTATGTAAAAATATATATTTTGTTTATAAATTAATAAAAAATTATTCAAATTATTTAAAACTTTATAATATATTTTTTAAAGCATAAATAT